TCTCGCACCAATGACGATTGGGATCACTTCCACTTCTACGTCTCCGAAGATGTCGCGGAGAGGGTTCTCCAGTATCGAGTATTTGGCCACTTTTTCCTCGTGGGCTTCCTTTAGCGTGTTTGTACCCTCGTAGCGGACTGTGTAGTCGACCACTTGGGCCCTTCCCTGGTCTACTACGACCAGATCCGGTTTCAACATGCCATTGGACACGCGGAAAGTTGACTCGCGGAGTAACTCCAGGTTGCGCCGCTTCTTTGATACTTCTGACTCGACGAGGTTACCAATCTCGTCGTGTCTCTTTATCACTCGCGGCTTCAACTCTGGACATCCTCCAATAATGTGAGATAGGGATTCCGGCCTATTCTCACATACGCGGCATAGGTGGGACAGGTGATCGTGTCCAGCCCGAATGAGCGTCGTCCTGTTCCCGTACGTATTGGTACGCATGCGTAGGGCATCGATCATCCTACCGCTAGATAGAAGATCGTTCCTGGTCAACCACTCATTGGATAGCCTATCTTTAAACTCCTCGACTCCATCGCCCTGGCACGGTAGCCCTTTCCAGGAGGAATACTCCTTGTCAATGGCGCTTCGCTTCAGTTTTGCGACGGCTTCTGTGGAGGTCGGCATCTGGATTCGTAGCAGTTTAGCTGCTTTTTCCGCCTCCGCGGACCGCACAGATGACATTCCGACGTTTCGGACTACGGGGTCTGTAGACTGCCTCATCCTCACGACGGACTTGATTACAGCAAGCTGAATATCAGTTGTCATCCGGGTCACGCCTAGGCCACCTTCCTTCTTTTGCGCGTATATAGTAGATACATAGTGGTACTTTCTGGCAGATGGAAGATTTTACGAACAACGTTCCGGATTTGTTGGTCCGCATCTTCTAACGCCGTCTTGGAAGGTGGATTTTGCACCATTCCGTACCTGTATCTGGGAATACACATACTCGAATATCAGCTTCAGTTTCTGTTCGGGCTTGAGACTAAGTCTTGCCGCCCGTTTGCAGCAGAAAGAACGAATTCCTTCGCGTTGTCTTTGCTAGAAATTCCTCCTTTCCAAGGAGTGAAACTGACACCGAGGGTAACGGATCGCTTCGTCTGGGTCCACATAATTGACTTCCTGATCTTTGATCTTAAGCTTGGGGTCCACGATAGCCCAGTTTTATGTAGCGTTTAACCGTGAACGCGCTACACTTGGCTATCGAGAGGTTCATGCCTAGGGCGCTGAAATATTCAGACACAAGTTCGATGTCCTCTACGGCGTCCCCTTCAGATTTACTGATAAGAATCAGATCATCCGCGAACGCCAGGACCGACACATTGCGTCCTCCAGGACAATTCCCTTCCTTCCCGCTGATCGAGGTATGTCAATAATGGGTCAACGACTGCGTTCCAAAGAAGTGGGCTAAGAGGATCGCCTTGCTTCACGCCTCTCCTCAGACTGATCTTTATTTCTTCGGTCGTAGATGGTAAGACCGTCTGACAATCCTGGTATACGTAATCGACGTATTCAGCGATATAAGGGGCCACTCCAAGCCTTCTGAGCGCCGGTACTAATGCACCATGTGGCACTGTGTCGAAGGCTTTGGAAATGTCAAGTATGGAACAAGTTCCACCCTGTTCCTCCTTCATCGCTTTCAACGTTTGGCGAAAGAGGGAGACGTTCTGAGCCGCTCCCTCGTCATGCGTGAATCCTTTCTGTGCTCGGCTTAGCTCGATGTTTCCCCTAAGAGATTCATCGATCACCCCGAGAACAGTCTGGCTAGGATTGAGCTGACAGTAATCGGTCCGCCAGCTGGCTGCCACTGTCAGATCCTTGCCATCTTTTGGAATCAGCGTTGTTCTGTTACGTTTCCAGGATTCGGGGTAAAACCCAATCCCCAAGCAGATATTAAAGATCGCAGTCAGAAGGAATGCGCGCTGTTCGGCGTATGTCCTTCTTAGCCACTTTGTCTGGCCCCGCAGCAGTGTGCGTTTTCAGGCGTCGGTATCTTTTTTCTACCGTTCCGAGCTGTATCGGGTTAATATCGACGACGCCCACCCTTGTAGCTACGGTCTCTTCCCAATCAGGTGGGAAGAATGTGGTTTCTTCAACGCCCCAGAGTCCGTTATATAGGTCTCTTACCTGATCACCCGGAGGGTAGTTCAGGTTGGCGGCGTTGTTCGATATCTGAGAGCCGATCCTCCACTACTAGCGTAGCTAGTTGTTTCGGTTCTTTCTCCCAGAGTTGTTGTACCGTAGCATACTCGTGTTGGCGTCTTTTGTCTCTACTTCCCCTAGCTCTGTGGTTAGCGTTTGCGGCCTTACCTCTCTGGCCGTTTCGGGGCAGATTGGGTTTGCCTCCCGCTAACTCGACGGTGAGTTCGTTGACGACGTTTTCGAGTTGTTTTACGAGTGGGTCAGATACGCTTATGACATCTTCAGCAGATCGAAAGCTCCCCGCAATTGCAGTTAACCTGACTGCCAAAGGCTGTATTTTAGCGTCCTTCGCCATCTCGTCATGGTGTTTGGCAAGTGTTCTGGTCGCCGAAGCTATCATACACTGCCTCCATCTCTTCTCTTCGTCGTCATACGATTTCTGTACTTTCACCTGAGGCTTCAAGATCTTATTTATTGGCGATTCTTTTTGCAGCTTTATTGTCTGATTCCCAAGTGAGCGGGGGGAGGTACTGCTCTGTCGCTCGTTCGAGACGCTGGCCCGTTCGCCGGTTCAATCAGGCCGAGCAGACGACGCTTGTCGCTGATCTGCCTTTGTGTTTTCCCCGGGAACTGCGACATCAAGAGCTTGTTAATGTGTCTTTGTCCCGCATACTCTTGGTTTAGTTGGCGCAGTTTCTGCTCCTCTTCCTCTGACCAAATCTTTGACCTGACGCCAGCATTCGTCTTCCTGGGAGCGGCTGCGTCAGCTAACCGCTTCTGGTTTCTGATTGCTGGGTGAGCATGCCGTTCATGCATCGATAGGCCAACTTTGGTAGGGAATGATGAGGAGCAGGCTTCGCACGTATAACCAGTTTCTGCGGGACGACCTAGTGGTCGGCATGATCGAATATGTTCGAAATTCCCGATGTGGTCGTGCTCTTTCTGTCACAGTGCGGACATTCCCAGTACGTTGTTACTTCTGGGTGCGTCTCTGTTACGTGCGTTTTAGCGTCTTTCGCGCTTAGGAAGGACTGCATAACCCTCCCTGCGCGAGCGCATAGCGAGCAATTGTACCTCTCCGCAGGGTGCTTAAATGTGATAGTAGTTAGTGCGGCCTCGCATGGGTCTCCGGAGCCCGAGTCGGTGGGAGACTCAGAGTTTCCAGGAGAACTGCGTTCCGGCCCCTCGGTGGTCTGCCTGACTGTCTCAACTCCACTAGCAATTGTACGTGAAGTCGAGCACTGATAGCGAGAATCTGAACCCACTTCGAGAGCTTCACCAATCATTGTTGAATCGTCTCCAAATACGTTTCGAGCTTCGTCGCTTTCTGCACTCCAACTCGCTCCGTACGCGCTGCTGCCACCACCAATCCGAACGGCAGTTTTTTGGTCAGGTGGTAATCCCGTACAGCGCTTATCCATTGCATATTTCGTTTTCCCGAGACAATCATCCACTCACAGGGTCGGGACGCCCCGCGAGGCTTTCAGGTCGCGCTCTACTGACCTGCCCTTTGAGGACCTTTGACATGGGTGCGCTGGTGTGGTGTGTTCTAGTCCTCAGCGTCTTATGATATAGCAAGTAGCTACCGACGTGCGGGTAGTACCAGCGCCACCCAGCTGCTATTTCAAATCTTGTCCTAATCGCGATCCTTAGGGGATGCGATATCGTCGGACGGCGGATACAGACCGGTAAGGTGTATTCCGCTCGTTCAAATTTTGGTAAAGTTACCGGTCTTCTGGTAGCGAACCCTTTATAGAGCAACCGCACTTGCCCATATTGGTCGGTCCGGTTCGCTTGCAGACACTGTTTCCCAGATCTTACCGACCAAGAGTCTGGTGGTCCGCGGTCTAGTGAGCTGTCGAGGCATCCTCCTTCCAGGTTTATTACCTGGATGTATAGGATTCAACCTGCAGCAGACCTGTGCGGGTTGTTGTTCAATTCAAGGCCCCCCCTATACTGAGTGTTCTTAGTATTTAAGGGAAGCCTTCTTCCTTGTCTGAAATTTTTGCAGCCAAAAAAGGCCCCTGGACACTACTAGAGTGACCAAGAGGTCCATATTTTGGTGTTATTTCCGACAAGTGTGGTTTGCCTTCTTTATCTTGTGGGATCCTCTAGGAGAGGTAAACCAATAAGGCCGGTATTCTTAGGGACCCAGTCGACTCAACTTGTTCTTTGTCCTCTCCTAGGCGGAGGTGACGAACACGTTTTGTCGTTTTAATCCGGTTTACCCTTGATACCTGGACCCTCTATGGTTGTTTGGTATTGTGCTTTACATCCATATTTGTTTGAAGCCTTTTAGCTGGTCAAACGAGTTCGTTTGTTCTTAGACGATACATCGCTTGTTGGTATCTCACCGACGATTTACCGTAGCAAGTTGGATACGAGTCAATCAGAGCCGACACTGATATCTCGCCCTGCTCGATAAATCTCCCCATGTTAGCAACTTTGGTTTTCTCTAGCTAATAAGACCAGAGCATACTCAAAGAGGCTTCTGAGGATCTGGCCTTTGCCCGTAAGGATCCCATTCGCATCTCTCTTGCTCTGATCGAAAAACGATAGTTCTACGTTTCGGTTATAAAGACAACAACTGTCGTCGTCGTCGTATTCTCACTCGGAATGAGGAGAGATGTCGCAAATGTGTTAAGAGAGTCATAGTTACTCCCGCCGTTTACCCGCGCTTGCTTGAATTTCTTCACGTTGACATTCAGAGCACTGGGCAGAAATCACATTGAGTCAACACCCGCAGGGGCCATCTCAATGCTTTGTTTTAATTAGACAGTCGGATTCCCCCGGTCCGTGCCAGTTCTGAGCTGACCGTTGAATGGCGGCCGAAGAGGACACCAGAACGCCCTTGCGAGCGCACTCTGGGCCTCGCAGCAAGACGGTTCCGCGGGAGGCCAAGGCACGGTACCGAGTTCGGATCCGCAATCCTACCGCACACGCGCGAACGCATACGACAGAACGTTTCACCTCGCCCAGGCCCGGCACGTCAGCCGCGACCCGCTTCCTCGCCAAGCCCGACACGCCCCGATCCTCAGAGCCAATCCTTATCCCGAAGTTACGGATCCAATTTGCCGACTTCCCTTACCTACATTATTCTATCGACTAGAGGCTCTTCACCTTGGAGACCTGCTGCGGATATGGGTACGAACCGGCGCGACACCTCCACGTGGCCCTCTCCCGAATTTTCAAGGTCCGAGGGGAAGACCAGGACACCGCTGCAACTGCGGTGCTCTTCGCATTCCAAACCATATCTCCCTGCTAGAGGATTCCATGGAACTCGAATGCTTATGCAGAAAAGAAAACTCTTCCCTGGTCTCCCGACGGCGTCTTCGGGTCTTTTTGGGTTACCCCGACGAACTCTCTTGCGAGGGCCCGACTATTGTACGGTTCCGCTGCCGGGTTTCGGAATAGGAACCGAATTCCCTTTCGCCCGACGGGCGTGTTCTTTATATATACACACATACATACATATATTTATAAAACAACGCCACATCAACATCGGCTTTCGCCTAGGGCTTAGGATCGACTGACTCGTGTGCAACGGCTGTTCACACGAAACCCTTCTCCACGTCAGTCCTCCAGGGCCTCGCTGGAGTATTTGCTACTACCACCAAGATCTGCACCGACGGCGGCTCCAGACGGCCTCACGGCCAGCCCTTCTGCGCGCACCGCCGCGACCCTCCTACTCGTCAGAGCTTCATGGCCGATCCGTTTTTACGCGGATCGAGACCGCACATGCCGCTGACGGCCGAGTATAAGCACGACGCTTCAGCGCCATCCATTTTCAGGGCTAGTAACTTCGGCAGGTGAGTTGTTACACACTCCTTGGCGGATTCCGACTTCCATGGCCACCGTCCTGCTGTCTTAAGTTACCAACGCCTTTCATGGTATCCCATAAGCGTCGATTTAGGCGCTTTAACTCGACGTTTGGTTCATCCCACAGCGCCAGTTCTGCTTACCAAAAATGGCCCACTTGGCACTCTGATTCGATTCTCGCAGCTTCATTAGTTCGAGCAAGCCGGAGATCTCACCCATTTAAAGTTTGAGAATAGGTTGAGGTCGTTTCGACCCCAATGCCTCTAATCATTCGCTTTACCGGATGAAACTCGTCACAGACGAGCGCCAGCTATCCTGAGGGAAACTTCGGAGGGAACCAGCTACTAGATGGTTCGATTAGTCTTTCGCCCCTATACCCAGTTCCGACGATCGATTTGCACGTCAGAATCGCTACGGACCTCCATCAGGGTTTCCCCTGACTTCGTCCTGACCAGGCATAGTTCACCATCTTTCGGGTCCCAGCGTGTACGCTCTTGGTGCGCCTCTTCTCGTAATGAGAACGAGACGCCCCGGGAGTGCGGAGCGGCCGCTTTATAGACGTGCCGCCCATCTTCCCTAAATCCGCGCTAGGCGGATCTTTACTTTCATTGCGCCTTTAGGTTTAGTTATGTCCCAATGACTCGCGCACATGCTAGACTCCTTGGTCCGTGTTTCAAGACGGGTCCTGAAATTACCCAAAGCTATAGCGTCGCAGATCGGCGTTTCAAACGAGGTCTGTCCGAGAAATCCGCACGACCAACAGTCGTCCGGGGACGGAACCGGGCGCTAGGTCCGATCGCCGTCTTAGCATCGAACGTGCTTGTCGTGGGTCGGACGCTAATTGAAGAAGTAGCGGCCTCGCGCCATCTGTATACCGTCGAGCGAGTCGGCCGGAACATCGCGGGTTCGAGCACGAATCGCCGAAACGATCGTACACGGACTCCACCGCGAGCCGTAGACCGACACCCAACGGATCGCGACGTCCTACTAGGGGAAAAGTGCACGCGTTCGACGCCGGATCGAAAAGCGAAAGGCGCGGACGACGCGCGAACGCCGTCCGTCGCGCGACCGCTCATCGCCGACGGCCGAAACGCGAATGAATTTCCCCTTTCGACCTTTCGGGTTTCTCAGGTTTACCCCTGAACGGTTTCACGTACTCTTGAACTCTCTCTTCAAAGTGCTTTTCAACTTTCCCTCACGGTACTTGTTCGCTATCGGTCTCGTGGTCATATTTAGCCTTAGATGGAGTTTACCACCCACTTAGGGCTGCACTCTCAAGCAACCCGACTCTGAGGAGAGATCCTCCCGCGATCGGCAGCGGCCACTACGGGCCTGGCACCCTCTATGGGCTGTGGCCCCGTTCAAGAAGGACTTGGACTCGCCGCGCGACCTCGGGATAAACGGATCCTCCCTAACACCACATTTCCCGGCGCCCGATATCGACCGCGGGATTCGGTGCTGGGCTTTTCCCTGTTCGCTCGCAGCTACTGAGGGAATCCTAGTTAGTTTCTTTTCCTCCGCTTAGTAATATGCTTA